TTTTTTTTTTTTTTTTTTTTTTTTAAGTTTCTACACCTTCTATCCTCCAAAGCTCCCCGGGATGAGCGCCTGTAGGGATAACATCTCTCCCTGCAAACAGCAATTAACACTTGGTAAGAATGTTTCACCCGAGAGAAAAACATCCAGCTAAGCTCCGGAGCACTTGGCTTCTGTTCTGATSGCAGCACCTCGTTCAGAGGCAGGAATGCACAAATCCTGCCCTGAACTCTGCTTTTCTCCTGCCGCAGCTCAGTTTTGGGGGTGCTTCAGCCAAACTGAGCCGAGTTAAGCAGGTGAGCTGTTAAATCTGTGCACGACACAGGCCTTGACAATCTCAAAGTGCTTTTTAAATGCTGAAACCATAAAGGAGTAATCACTGTGGAATCGGCATCACCTCWGAAGGCAGCTAAATCTGGTTTGTCATGCATGAAAAGCAGAGCATGCCTTCCTTCCAGGAGTTGCTTTGAATGTGGTGCTGTAAATTCTTGCCTGTGCCACCCTGCAGCCAGGAAATGGGGCTGTGAAAACAAGTTCTGACAGGGAAAATTCAGATGCTTTCTGTCCAGCTACCCAGGCAGCCGGATGCTGACAGGACAAGCAAGGCGAGTCCCACACTGTTGTCCCTTGGCTGGGGATAGGATGGGGTCACTTCCCTCTCCCGGGTCCCCCCTGCTCCCTCAGCTCTCCCAAACCCTTCCCTATGAGCTCCCAGCCTCTCCCAGATTCCTGCTTGGCTCCACTTTTGGCAGGCACCCCAAATCCTGGCTGCTTTAGCGCCCACACCTGCATTCTTTGTGTCCTTTTCTCTGTGCTCTGTGAGTTTTGGTGCACAAATAATGCCCTGGATGTTCAGAGTGGGCCCTGCTGCTGAACAACCACGGCAAGGAGGGTGTGGGGCTGTCCCCAAATGCCCCAAATGTCTCTCCTTGCTGTGCCATGGGCAGAGCTAGCTCGGGAAAGCTTTAACAGGCTCAGGACCAGGAGCAGCTCCACCGGCAGAGCCCACATTGTTCTCTCAACACCTGATTTCTSCTTATCCCAGCCCATCTCTGACATCACTGCCAGCCTTCCATACAGATGGGAACGGCCCTCCCCGTGGCACAAAGCCGCAGAAATGTGGCTCAGCTGCAACTCGAGTGCCAGGGCTGGAAAAYAATCCCTTCATCGCGGTGAGGCTTCAGCAGTGCAGTGAAAAATGCAGGGAACTGGGCAGGTATTGGAATCCYGGGCCCTGGCAGAGAGAGTGAGATAAATATCCGGTGATTTATCGGCGACAGGAAGGGCTGATGGAGCTGGARGAGTAATTAACCCCTGGTGTTATTRAAATTGAAGATGTCTKGGCATGAAGTGTCCTTGGGAGGCACCGGTGAAGTCAGGCTGATTTCAAACAGTTCGGTGGCTTGGGAGACAATCAGGGCATGAGCTCCTCATCTCCCAGAGGAYCCGAGCCCTCCCTCCTCCCGCCCTCGGGCACACCTTGCTGCCTCTCCCTTCCACAGGCATTTTCCATCACCAAGGCAAAAATTGAGTTGTGTTTTTTCTTTTTTTTTTTTTCTTTGTAGAGCTGGCTTGAAACGGTTTAGTGTTCACTGATTCTGGCACTGAGGGGAGAGGCAGAGTGGATCCTGCTGTTTGGGGTGGATCCTGCCTTTTGGGGTGGATCCTCCTGTTTAGGACTGGATCCTGCCTTTTGGGGTGGATCCTGCTGTTTGGGGTGGATCCTGCTGTTTGGGGTGAATACCGCTCTTTTGGATGGATGCTGCTGTTTAGGGCCGGATCCTGCTGTTTAAGGGTAGATCTCGCTGTTGGGGTGGATCCTGCCCTTTGGAAGTGCCCCCTGACCCCCATCATTCATGCACAGGTATTTTGCAGTTCAGCACAGAAGTTCATCCTTGGTGCAGAGCAGGGTGAGGGGTGAAAGTGCAGAGAATGGASCTGTTCCTACCCACTCTTCTCTCAGCCCCTCAGCTCTGTGAAGAGCAGGAGAAGGCACCGAGGTGTCCCTGGAGGATTTGGCACTGGGAACACATCAAGCCCACAGGGAAGGAAGGGCTGAGCTGCAGCTGAGCCTGTTAAGCAGCACCCCTGACTGCGATGAGGAAAGTCTGGAGGAAATGAAGAAGTGGGGGGATGTTGACTGCCTCTCACAGAATTATCTCCAGTTCTCCAAAGCTCACTTTTTTTCCTCTTGTAAACCAGGGAAAGAGTGGGACAATTCTCACCACAAAGTTCTTGGGTAACTCRCTCCWTTCYTCCCCTTGCAGWGTGGAAGGTTTGGGATGTGGCTCCYTAGGGTGTGATTCCAGATGAATGGGAGCAAAAAAATGCTGCCATTAGCTTAAAAACATTTTTGAAAGGTTACCAACGAAATTTGTTCCAACTCATCCTCCCAGGTGTGGCCCTGTAACATTTCATCAAAGTGTGAGAAGTCCTCAKTGCAGCAACGTGGATGTTCAGCTTTGATCCCCCAGCGCCTGCAGACTCCAGCATCCCTGAATCAATCCCTGACTCCTGTCCCACTGCAGCCCCTCCTGCAGAGGCTCCAGCCAAAGGCAGGACAGTGTTTTTGGCGTGGCTGCCGAGCTGCTCCCCCTGGAATGTGGCACAAATCAGGCTTGGGGCTCCCGTGCCAGAGGAGCCATATGCGAGAGCTGCACATCCCCCTGCCAAAAACCAGCCCCGTGCAGGGAGCCCTTCCCTCTGGGGAACACAGGGTTAATTGCCCTGCTAATCACTCCGTTTCACTAATCAGTCCCTGCAGAGGGGTTCTGTTTGTTTTTCCGGGCTTATGCATCCTCTAGCCAGCGTTTCTGGTGATTTATTTAACAGGCTAATTTTTGATTTTGCTCTCCAGTGTTTATTTTAAGGTTTGGGTTTTTTTTTGGTTTTGTTTTGATTTTTTTTTCACAGCAAACATAAAATCTGCTAAGATATTTCTCCTAGGAATTTTATTGATTCAGCAGGWCTATTCCCCATGTGAGTCCTTATTTCAGAGAATTCCCTGTACTCATGCTGCCAAGGCTCATGGACACTGCACTGCCTCAACAAAGAACACAGCTCTGTATTTAAAGGTCCTAGTGGAGGATCCATGACTTGGAAACTGGGGGACACTCTCAGGTGTTGGGCTGCTCATGAGAAGACAGACATTGAGGGGCTGAAGCGTGTCCAGAGAAGGGAACTGAGCTGGGGAAGGGTCTGGAGCCCCAGGAGTGGCTGAGGGAGCTGGGAAAGGGGCTCAGCCTGGAGCAAAGGAGGCTCTGGGGGGACCTTGTGGCTCTGAACAACTCCCTGACAGGAGGGGGCAGCCGGGGGGCTCGGGCTCTACTCCAGGGAACAGGGACAGGAGGAGAGGGAACGGCCTCAGGCTGGGCCAGGGGAGGTTTAGGTTGGATATTGGGAAAATTCCTTCATGGAAAGGGTGAAGGGCAGACACTGGCACTGGCCCACGGTGGAGTCCCCATCCGTAGAATTGTTAAAAAACCATGTGGAAGTGGCACCTGAGGGCCTGGTTTAATGGTGAACGTGCTGGTGCTGCTGGACTTGATCTTTTCCAACCTTACTCATCCCCTGCCCCCGTGCCTGACCCGTTAACCAGGCAATGTGAAGGACAGGCTGCCTTTGGGGGACAGCTGCCCTCAGCAGGGTACAGAGCAGAGAGGAGCCCCCCAGAGCAGGAACTCCCCCTTACCTGTCCAGCAGAGAGCCCAGGGAGGTGACAGCRCTGTCCCCTGCCAGCACCAGGCACAGCCCGTCCTTCAGCAGGGAGCACTGCAAGACAGGGAGACACAGAGCTTTGAACAGATCTGCAAGCCTGGCTGGTGGGTGAGGGACAGCAGCCACAAAGCCACAGATTCTTCCAAACTGGGCCAGTGCYGTGCCAGAGCTGCTGTTATCCCCAGAGCCCAGCAGTATTCCTGCTCCCCTCTCCTGGGAAAACCAGCAGCTTAGCTGGATGTGTTACTGAGTCCCTACATCTGCTGGAAGCAGCAATGCCAAGCCAGGTAAATATTGAGAGATTGTGGCAGAAACCCTCAGCTGCAGCAGCCCATCTCCCTTSCAGCCAGGGAAAGCAAAGGCTGCAACGTTCACCTTTGGCTCAGCTGAGCAGATCCTGCTGGAAACACGCCAGCTCTGCCCAGGGCCATTATCTGTCACAGGAGCAGGGAGGGATGGCTCTGCTCCCCCCACGCTGATYTGTCCTTCCTAGAGAGCTGTGCACGTTCCCTGAGCACAGGGATGGCTCCTCGGGGTGCTCAGGGGACAGGCAAGCCGTGTTTACACTAATTGGYTGCGGGATGTAATTGCTGTTCCATCCAGATGCACTTCAAAGGGATGCTGTCAGTTTAAAACAGCACAACCTGGAAAGATCTTACCTGCTCCTGTTCCAGATAACACCCCAGACTCACACCTGGGAGCTGCAAGCCCCAATGTTTGTGTTTTGTGAAGGGCTCTGTGTGGTCTGGCAGCCCTCGGGTGATTGCTGCTTYGCTACTGCCACTGTAATTACCATCCCCCCTTGGTTACTGTCTGATGCTGACAGCATTTCCTGCACATTCCACCTTCCAGCTTTGCCCAGGCAAGGCTCCTGACCTGGTGAGCTTCTCCTGCAGCAAGAGGAACAGCCTGGGTCTATGGTATTCTGCTGCTGTGGAGCGGTGTCAGCTCAGCCCAGCAGCACAACTGTGCCCAAAGCCCAGGCTGGGCTGCACCTCGAGCTGCCAGCACCCTCTGAGAGCCACAGACTSCTTTGGGCTGGAAGGGAGCTCAAAGTCCATCCCATCCCACCCCTGCCATGGACAGGGACASCTTCCACTGTCCCAGGCTGCTCCAAKCCCYGTCCARCCTGGCCTTGGRCACTGCCAGGGATCCAGGRGCAGCCACAGCTTCTCTGGGCACCCTGTGCCAGGGCCTGCCCGCCCTCCCAGGGAACAATTCCTTCCCAATATCCCATCCATCCCTGCCCTCTGGCAGTAGGAAGCCATTCCCTGTGTCCTGTCCCTCCATCCCTTGTAAACTGCCTCTCTGTCCATCTTTCTTGTAGCTCCTTCAGGCCCTGCAAGGCCACAATGAGGTCACCCCAAAGCCTTTTCTTCTCCCGACTGAACAATCCCAATTCCYTCAGCCTTTCCTCCCAGCAGAGCTGCTCCATCCCTCTGATMATCCTGGTGCCTCCTCTGGAGTCACTCCAGCAGCTCCACATCCTTCCTGTGCTGGGAACCCCAGAGCTGGAGGCAGCTCTGCAGGTGGGAAATCTCTGGGTTTCAGGGCATAGTGAAAGGGTTGTAGAGGAGGAGTAACGGGGTGTGATTACAGACAGGGAAATAGAAACTGTATTTATAGAGAAACAAGACAGGAGACAACAGCAGAACATGGAGAACAGAGCACTGATGGGTGACTGGAATAAAACATCCCATAAATGAACACTGGATGGCTGTTCCCATGAGGGCCACATTCACACAGGATGGTATTGATGGCTCCCAGGGATGCAGGAACACCCTGTGGAAGTGCCCCCAGTGCCCACATTACTCACAGAGCTGCCAGGGCTCAGGGGCAGTGCTGCAGCAGTGCCACCAAAGCCCGTTTGCTCAGGGCAGCACGTCAGAGCCAGGCATCAAATGTTCTTTTTTTGTGCCAAGGAAGCAAAGTCCCGCTCCAGCTGCTCCTTACCTTTGCTGCAACACTGCCCTTGGCCCTGCTGAGCAGCTGTGAGATGCAGAGAGCCTGGGGTGAGTCCAGCACGGCCAGGCGAGCYCCGGTCACCGCCAAGCCGCTGCCCACCAGCTCCTCCAGCAGCGCCACGTACGGCGGCGGCTCCGAGCCCCGCAGGATYATCCCGGGCAGCACCAGGCAGGTGGGGTGGCACAGCTTCTCCAGCAAAGGCTGACCTGGTGGCAAAAGAGCAAAACACTCATTTGGTGTCTCCCCCCAGCAACTCTGACCCTCCCAGTGGCTCTGCCCTGGCACAGCAGCATCCGTGGCAGTCGGAGGCACCGCGGTGTTGGGATGCGCTYTGGGATCTCATCCCGAGCTGCTGCATGCCTTTGTGTCCCTGTCTGGAGATCACAAGGCAGCAGGAGTGACCCCATTTCAGGAGTCAGACAAGGACAACTGCTGGTTTGCTACAGGAGACACGATTCCATTTTCATTTTTTCCAAGCAGAGGAAGCTGCTAATCCAGCTGCTTTTATAATCCCAAATGTAATTCTGCTCAGCATACGCGAGGCTTAATGTATTTCATATTTTCCTCATGATAAATCTGTCTGTCCATTAGGCAGCAGCTTTGTGATAATTATTCGCTGGAAGGAGGTTTCCTCGTGTGCAAGAGCTTCCTCTAGTGTCCAAGAAGAGCCCAGAACGTGAGTGATGTGTCTGCTTTGCTGGAGGCACTTACGAGATCGTGCCTGACAGTTCRGAGATCACGTGGACTTGCTTTTCCAGGGCAGTAACTCTTTGAAATACATTTCCTGAGACACAAACACATCAGGGCTGTACACTRCTTTCCTTTTCGCTCTGCTCAGGCATCTTCAAAGCTGAGATATCCTCATGCAGCAGGAAATTAGGGGCATGTATTTTGAGATTAGCTCCTGACGCTGAGCTGTGCAAAGCCTGCAGAATACCTGTRCTCTCTCCAGAACAAGCCATTTTATTATTTTATTTTATGGAATCTCTTCTAAAAATCAAGCAATGTAGTCATAGCAGACATGTGCTACAGGCCTGCTCCTTTCCCATTTTCATTGAGATGATGGGGAAAACACCCCTTCAAATAACATTGGGGAAAATCCTCCTTCAGAGACCCCCTGCACAAAAGTGATTTGGTGTTCCCACCAAGGGCAGAGGATTTGTTTTACCACCCCCTCCTTGCATTTCTGCACCTGCTGGTGTGGGACCAATGCCCCCCTCCAAAGTCCCATGTCAGGCAGGGCTGATCTGTGATCCTRTCACATTTTCATCCTGCTCTTCTCCCATCCACAGCAATCTGGGGATTAASGGCTGCCGTGATCAGGTGTAGCACAGGAACATTTTTCTGAGCTGCCCACATCCCTCACAGCAGAACTGGAGCTACAGGAATGACAATGACCTGGTTCTAAGTGATTCTATTCCCCAGGGAACACCGCAGGGATGCTTTACCTGGTCCCTGCTTGTTTACAAAGGCTTGGGATCAATCCACAACAGCCCAGCGTGGGAGCAAGCCCCGTGTCAGTGCCATCCCCTGCCCCTGCACCAGCTGTGTTTACACACATCTATCAAGGCAAATCAGCAGCAAAGGCCCCGAGGAGCTGCTGCATGGCAGGGAAGTGTCAGCCTGGCTGAGGCTGCGTTCCCAAGCAAAGTCAGCCGCGGTGGCTGGGAGTCATTTGGAGCTGGCAGCTGCTCAGCAGCAGCGGGAGCTGAATGAGCCCAGAGCCCAGCTCAGGAGAGCTCTCTGGCCACGCTGCCGGCAGCTSTCCCTGCACCGATTGATATTTATCCACTCACAGGACAGAACAGAAAGGCTCACCAGCGCCCAGCCCTGCCCTCCCACCTCTCCAGGGGAGGCTCTCATGGACACCAAGCACCAAGGCTGTGTCAGACACCTGGGGGGGAGTTCAGGCACCAGCTGTGGTGCCAGTGCTTCTGCTGCTGCTGCTGTTAAGGTCAGCCCCTGTGGCCAGCTCTGGCTTTAGAGCCCTGAAGTGCTGGCAGGTGAACAGTTAAAGGATGCACTCCCCTGGAGCTGTTCCCTGCAGCTCAGAGCTGTCTCTCCCTTCTAAAAGGACATCAATACCCAATCTTGCTGCCACCAGATGGTTTGTCTTGCTGTCCAATTAATCAATAGCAGTCCCAATCCATAAGAGGAGTTACATTTCCTTACCAGGGCTGCCTGGCTGCTCGGAGCCCGGGACACTGGGATGTTTCCCTGGGTCACAGGTCAGGATCTTGCGCTGCTTCCCAACTGCCAGGCTGAGGATGGGGTCATGTTTCAGGTTATAGATCTGCAGGAGGTAAGGCAGGGAGGGAGGGAGRAGGCAGTCATGTGAGCACATTACCTTATGAGGAGGGATAACACTCCTGAGGTATTGATTGAGACAAGCTGGGAAGCTTTTGTTGCTGTCCTGTACATCTGTGACTGCCAGCCCAGAAAACACCTGCTTGTCTGCACACAATAAATATCTTGCAAACATTCTTCCTTTTAATTGAGCCTTAATTCAGTGCAGCATCTCATCATCCTCTGCAAGGTCCCATGTCCAGAYATTGTTCTAAGGCCTCCACTCCCAGCTTTTCAAGGCCAGGAGCTCAGACCTGTAGGATTCTGACAGCTGTTCCCAGCACCACACCAGGGTGTAGCAGCTCCCTGCTGTCCCAGAAGGAGCTAGCAGAGTCACAGTGCCCTGCATTGAGCTGCACACCCACATCACCAAAGCCCATTGCAGRTGTGGCCATTTCCAGAGCTGATCTCTTTGGACCATCTCAGCTGAATCCCCTCAGAGCCACAGCAAGGCTCAAACATTTCCATTCCTTGGCTGAGCATATCCCAGCCCTGTTCACGTCATCAGCCCCCCCAACTCATCTCCATCCCTGAATGATACAAAGCTGGTAAAAAACCAGCTCCTGGCCCAAGTGTGCCTCAGCAGTCAAAGTGATGCTGYTCTCCCTGCTCATGACCTGCTTCCTAAGCAATGTTGACCATTCCAGATTTCCAGCAGAGGCTGCTGAACAGACAGATCTGAGGCGCTGCCTGGGTCAGTACAGAGGGAGCACAGCGTGGGAAKAACATCCCCAGGATAGAGCAAATTCTGCAGGGCCTGGGTCAGTATAGAGGGAGCACAGCGTGGGAAGAACATCCCCAGGACAGAGCAAATTCTGCAGAGCACATCCAAAGCAGCATTATCCAAAACACAATGGGAGAGAAGTCACGGGATAGCAGGGCTGCTCCCCCACAGCAGGACAAAGCTCAGGAAAGGACACGTTCCTACCTCTTCCTCCTGCCCTGTCTGACACTGGGCACAGCACAGCCCTTCTGGGAAAAACAGCTTCACATCCCGGACAGCCATTGCATAGGATTTGGAGCCTGAGAGATAAATACAATGAGAAGATTCTCTCAGGCCATGAATTAAACATTCTCTAGACTCACACTCATCTTTTGGAGAGATTGATGATGTGCAACTCACTGCAGTAATTGCTTTAAAGGCCAGCTGTTCTGTACAGTAATAGCAAACATTTGAAACCATTATATTTAGAATAGTTCCACTGCCTCCGTGGTGTTTTGATTCTGTCCTACTATCACTCAGCAGCTTCCRCATGTAAACAAGGCTTCTTCTATTTCCTAACAGCAGAGCTGAGGGAATCGTGTTAGGGAGGCTGTGAAACCTTTCACTTCCAGCTCTAAATCCTGTTGTTGTTCCTTTACTGCTGGATCACACCAGGCTGCTCTTACTGAAAGGGAAGAGCTACTGGTTAGTAAAATAAATGTGCTTAGTAACAATAATGCAGGTCCCAAATCCGCTGGGAACTCTGAGTGACCACGGAAATCAGAATTAGCACGAGGCATTGCTGATGGAAGGACATTTTTGTGTTCACCTCTGATCAAGAGWGGTGAATTGAAACTGGAACAGTCAGAGAAATGACATGAGGATGACTGGAGGAGTGGAGAATCATCTGAAGAGTTAAACCAGACCTTGGCTCCTTTGACCCAACACGACCCAAAGCTGAGAAACAATCTGATTTCTGATAAACACTTCAGTAGGAAAGGTCAGAGGTGTAAAAAGAGCTACTTAAAATAAAGTCCAGATAATGGCACAGGAACAAATGGGCACAAACTGTACGTGGCTATATTTAAGTTTGAAAATGTAAGGAGATTTTTAGCCCTCAAAGCTCTGTGACATCCATCCAGCTGGGGTGGGTGCTTATGGAAGGGAAAACGTGATGGGGCTGTCTGTGAGGGAATTAACTGAACTCAGTGACTTGAGAGGTCCCTCCAGGCTTAGCAGCWGAATATTTCCCTATAAAGCAATAGTGCTATAAAGCATTACTCCAAATGTTTGGAGATTTGTGGATGGAAAGTATTAGAGAGGGAAAAGCTATTTCCATTTAACTGGAGTTTAGATAGACTGTCAATGTGCTGGCCCAGATCCATCCTCCTGGGATACAAATATCCTGTGAAATATGACCACCTTGGAGGCTCCCCATTGGAAGGATCCCACCTGAGAGCACTCAGCCCTGTCTGAGCTCCATAACTCTGGATATTGGATGGACAGAGCCCTTGAGGCAGCAGTTTACAATGCTGAGGTTGTGTAAATCACCAGGGTGTGAGCTGGGCTGGATCCTTCCCACAGCTCCACACCAACCCTGCTGTGCTTCAGTCATTTGGGGCATTACAGAGAACACAAAYGCTCCCAAAATGAGCATTTTTCTCTCACTTTGCTTGAGGTGCAAGACAGAGAAAGGTGCATTTGTAAGAGCTCTTTGGATGCAAGAAAAAGAAGAATACAACAACTTGCTGAGCCCCAGAAGAGATGGGAGGATGCAGGGTTACCTCTGCAGCTGAGCCCTAGAGCATCAAAGCTGTATTTCTTGGTTCACCARTCTCCCTGGAACTCCAGCTAAATTGCATTTCCCCTGTCACTTAGGGAGGAAATAGTGAGAGTTTGCTCTGCTTCAGGCATTAACTGAAACACTTCCTCAGCTGGAGCAAAACCAGGAAAGCTCAGTATTCCTCCCAGGAAAGGAAGATGGTCTTGCATAGTGCCCAGTTACTCATGGAAAGCTCTTCCTGCTTGGCTTGCAGGTAAATGTTTCACCTGTGTTGGAGGACAAGCTCTGGGAGGTGCAGAGGGTCAGGAACACTCCTTTCCCTAGGGATAGATGGTTCCAGGGCTGTCAGCTGGGTCAGATCCATCAGTCAGCTCCAGCTGCATCCCTGCTGCTGGGATGTGTGCAGGGAGGGCTCTGGGAGCCAGCCCTATAACTGGGACTGGGCAGGGTCAGCTCTGTGCTCAGCCCAGACCTCAGCAGCAACTGCAGATCCCATCCCAGGGCTCTGAAGGGAATCAGAAGGATCTCTGYAACACAGTGAGCTCCCTCCCAGCAAAAACCAGAATGAGACTCAGCTTCCCTTGATATTTTCACTGAGTTTTGCTGGGCATGCTCCACCTGTAGCAAACATCTGAAAWTTGGGATATACATCACCCATTCTTAGCCACAACAAGGAGTTTCAGGGCCATCAGGGTACATAATCCATTCATCAAGAGCAAGAGAAGCAGGGGCTGAAAATGGAAAAGAATTGGCTGAAGAGCCCTGAACTTTTTTKGGGGGTAGATAGGTCCTGCTCCTCWGTCACTCCCACAAATCCTGTGGGATCATGGTGAGAGATCTCTCCAGTCCTCAGGATTAAAGAGGGCTCTTTAACCAAGGGGTTGGTTCTCCTCCCCAGACTGYAGCTGCTTCATTCCCTGCCAGCTCTCAGCAGCCCACTCGAGATGGATGAAAACAGGGAGGGCTTTCACAGCCCAAGATACAACAGCAAGAGCCAAATAATTCARTGAATCTTGTCAGGAAAGTTCTCCAGGGACCTGAGGGCACACACTGCCTGCCAGCTCACCTGGGCTGACAGAAATGATTACTCTAAAAAATATTTTTAATATTTTTAATTTCTATATTTTATTTTTACATATTCATTTAAGTACTTGGAAGAAAAACACAGGCAGGGAGCTAASAATGCTTAATTCCTGGTGAATTTTGGAATGACATCCTTCCCTCCCTGTGGCAATACTTTGGGCTCTCCACAGGCTGCTCTCTCCAGGGATTCTTCCCATCTTCTCWTCCTTCATCCCACACACTGCAACATCCCAGTGCCTCCCTGCTGCCAGAGGAGCTGGGATGGTTCAGCATTCCCAGGATGTGCCCCTGCCCATGTCCCAAATGGAAAAAGCCTCTCCAGGTGGAAAACAGCTGAGTTTCCCTGCTTTGCTCAGCCAGAGCAGGTTTGGATCCCCTCTCTCCAGCCAGCCATCAGCTTTTGAGATGTCACAGGAACTCGGGATCTTGGAGTCTTTGTGAAATCTTGGAATTGGCCAATGGGTTGTGGAGACATCAGGGAAGGACACACAAGCAGGGAAGACAGATGGGTTCTTGGGGACAATTACAAAATAACCGAGCTCCAAGTACAGAGTGACCAAGCAGAGAGAGATCAAAGGGAATCTGTTCTGATAAAGACAGACCTAGGGCTGTCTGTTTAGGGAAGAACCCTTTTGGAATATAATTTCTGTGAAAGTATTTCATCGCTTGAGACACACTCAGCTCAGCCCCCAAGAACACAGGGAAAGCTTTCCAGGGAATCATGGCCTCACTGCCTGCCAAGGCTGGCTCTGTAGTGCCAAAGCACGAGGGAACAGTACATAACATATTTTCCATTTGTATATCTGAGCCTTTGGTCTATTCTTTTACAAAAACCTACCATAAAATCCGTTCTGGACTGTGCTGGWGCCATACTGAGCCCTCCAGAGGCGTGGGTCCAGGGCTTGGGCCAGCTGGGGATCCTCTGGCCCCAGGAGATCCATCAGCTTCTTCACAGCGTTGGGTCTCTGCAGGCACAGCACGAGGGCAGTGCCCGAGGTGAGGTAGGCACAGTGAGCTTCCAAAGCAGCCGCATCCTGGGGACAAAGCACAGATGGAACTGGTCACRAGCAACTGGGGAGCACTGGGAACATCCCAGCTTTCCTTTGTGAGTGAGCAAATCTGCTGTTGCTCCTTGTTTTCTCTCCTCTTTAACACTGCTGGTGCACTAAAGGCTCCAAAATCCAGAGCTCAGCCACCAGGCAGCTCCTGTGACATCCAGCAGGGCTGTTCCTTCAGGGGGACATCTGGATCAGGGGAAACACGGACACAAGCCAGAGCAGCAGGGTCACAAATGCTCTGGGATGAGGAGCYACATTTAATTCTACAGCTGATATAAAATGATGGATCACAAATACCAGAGCTTTGCTTTTTGAATTCACAACAGRCAGGACCCCCTAACAGACCCAGCTCCTCCTGGACAGTGAATTCTAGACCCCAGTTAGGATCAGGACTACAGAGCTTRAAAGTTGGAGGGTGAGAACAGGGGCTACAAGAAATCAGTTTGTTCTCCCGGCCTTGGCTGATGCCTTTTGCTCCACAGCAAATCTCTCCATCTTTGYTTCTTGTCTGAGCGTGGTCAGCTCAGCCTGTGCCCACTCCTGAGCAGAGCTGGGCAGGTCACAGCCCCCAGGACATTCCACTGAGGAGGGACGAGTGGAAAGGACACGGAGCAGCCACTGCACTGCTGGGGAGGAGGCTGTTCTGAGGGCTGGGGACACACAGAGGGACAGACAGAGGGACAGGGAGCCCTGGGAAGGGCAGCAGTGCCGGGGGCAGGGGGGTGGCACCACTCTCCMAGCCCTGCTGGCTGCTTTGGTTACAGAAAACCTTGGGAAGCCGGGCTTCTGCARATGYCTGGGCTGAGCACAAGGTCAGGGYRCCCAGAGCAGCTGCAGCTGTGCCTCCTCCAGCTCCTCCATSTGAAAAACCCRGCAGCAGCATCCAGTTCTGCCTCCTCCTGCCCCTCCATCAGAACAGGAGCTCAGGAACACCCAGCTGTGCCAGGAACACCCAGCTGTGCCTCCTCCTGCCCCTCCATGGGAACAAGGGCTCAGGAACACCCAGCTGTGCCTCCTCCTGCCCCTCCATGGGAACAAGGGCTCAGGAACACCCAGCTGTGCCTCCTCCTGCCCCTCCATGGGAACAAGGGCTCAGGAACACCCAGCTGTGCCTCCTCCTGCCCCTCCATCTGAATAACATGGCAGGAATATCCAGCTGTGCCTCTTTGCACCCCACCGTGCAGCAGCCAGGGCTGGATGTTCTCTCCAGCTTAGAAAACAAGGGCATTTCCAGCTCCCTGCCAGAATCAACCCATGGCTATTTGCTTTTTTTCCCCCAGTTTTTCAGGAAATAAAAACAAGAGAGGAAAAAAAACACCATTTGATTCAGCTGAATCACGTCATTCACAGAGGTTTTAATTCCTCTATTTTTTAATCTTCTAAAAGCAGCAGAGGATAGCAATTCTCTAGATAAAACATTTCCAGAAGCAAATCCTATCATTTCATTTAAAAATATGGAGATAACTCTTCAAGGCCTCTCTGCTTTTCTATCACGTGAAACCATTCACTGCCTTTGACCCAAATCTGCTCCCACTCGCCTGCCTCCCAAATTGCATCTTTAAGAAGTAGGTTAGGAATTGACAACCGCAGGCTCAAGCCTGATATTCCCCCCTCTATTTKCAGAGGCAGAATGATCTATGAGAAAGCCCCTCCCGTGGTTAAATTGGTGGGGTATTTGAGGGATTGGATGTGGTGTTTGTCAGCCCTGCTGCCCCATGGGCACATGGTCACATCGTGTGACTCGGGGGCTCTCTGGTGACAACAGCTCTGTTTGGATGAAGAATTTCTGCTTGTCATAGTGTACTGCGAAATTGTGACATTCATTCAGCTCTGTATAATAAGAAATAATCCCTTCCTGCTTGAAAATTTTTGTTACTTAAAAAAAAACGGATTTAATCCACTTTTCTATGGGCTTTCTCTTTGGGCAATGAAAACCAGTGATGTTTTCAATGAAAACTTCCAAAAGGACTGATAAAACATATCAATATGCATTCAGGTTGGAAACATCTGCAAAGAAAACATTCAGTTTTTGTTAAACAGACCAGAATAAAGGCAAGCATTTTGTTCCAGAGCTTCTAAGCAGTGATTTTAGAGCTAAATAATAAAATTCTTCTGTCTTTCAGTCGTTTCTCAGCAAATCCATGGATTTGGGGTTGAAGATGATGTTGTTTCTAATTGGTGTCAGGGAGTCAAGGTGACTCTTTCCTTCTGGCAGCTCCTCACAGCCACTCCAGACTGTGCCAGCCCAGCGCTGCCTTCATTGCCCTCATTGCCTTCATTGCCCTCATTGCCACACTCAGCTCCATCTCCACTCCCTTGTGGATCCCGAGCAGCTGTGTTGGCATTCAGGGAGAGATTTGGTGGGGAGGGAGTTCCAGCCTCCCAGATGGGGGAAGGAATGTCAGAAGGACAGGACATCCCTCCCCTCGCTGGCTTGGGAGGGCTGCTGGGATTAAGGAGCAGCAGAACGATCCCGCTGGAATCACAAAACAATCTCAAAACGGGGCTGTGGGAACCGCTGAGTTACTGAGGTCGTGAGCTGCTACTGCAGGCAATCACATCAGGTAATCCCCGACTGCCAGATCAGCCCCCGCTGCAAAAATAAAGCCCAAAGTGCCAATCTCCATGGCACTGGATGTGCTGGGTAAGCACTGAAAGGAGATCCAKCTTCCAGGGGCAGAATCCCCCGGGAACAGGMGCTTCTCACTGCCTGAACACCASCAGGTCACRCTGAGAGCTGGGGAGACAATGCCAGCTCTATTTACATGACCTTTATTTTTTATAATCGTTATTAAGCTGCAGCTCAAACATCTTGTTATGGCTCCTGTGATTCGATAACCTCGGCCAGGAGCGGAGCAGTTGTGTTTTATCGTGCTCCAAAGGCYGCTCCGAGCTGGGGGGAGCTGCAAAAGCAATCACGGAGCTGAGCTTGTGCTGCCAAGGATATTTGTCAAGTGCATGTAAATAATACATTAGAAAGGAAAAGGAGATGTGAGGTTGTCTTGCTGGCAGCGAATAAACCCAAATTTGCTCTCAAACACTGTGTACATGCAACAACCCAGCACATCCCAGCGCAAGGGAGGTCTCTGGAGATGGAGGTAAAGCCAGAAAAAACCCTGGACAGAGCTTTGAGAAGGGACAGACACACTGGCTGCACCTTCTTCRAGAGGACATCTCATCATGGATCTCATCAATCCATAYAAATATCCCCRTGGRTGTCAGAGGGTGGTGCCAGGCTCAGTCCAGGGGTACCCAGTGACAGGATGAGGAGCAATGGCCAGAWATTGAAACACAACAAGTTCTACCTCAGCCTGAGGGAGAACTTCCTTCCATGGAGGGTGCCAGAGCCCTGGAACTCTCCCCTGTCTCCCAGTCCTCCCTGGATCTATCCCTGTGCCATGTGCTCCAGGTGACCCTGTCCTGGCACGGGGTGGGACTGGATGAGCTCCAGGGGTCACTTCCAGGCCCAGCTGGGGTTCTGTGTCCTGGTAACCATCAGCAATTATCCCCCATGTGAAGAGGCTCATGTTAAGCCCAGCAGGGCACCCCACTGTGCTATAAGCTGAGGAGCAGATTGATGATGGATATCCCTCCCATCCAAATGCTGTACATGGAATTCAGCTGGGAAAAAACAGCCCTGCCCTGCCCCCACAGCTGCCACCGAGCCACTGACCCACCGGATTGTCCAAACAGCCCAGTCCCTGGAGCCTGCTGAGCCTTTTGCAAAATCTCCCTGCTTATCTTGGGAGCTCATCCTTTCCCAGCCCCCACAGTGAGAGCCATTCCTATGGGTTCTAAAAAGGAGCAGGAGCCCCTGGGCAGCAGAAACCATTCCCCCTCCCCAAAGGCAGCCTATTCCCTTTGCTTGCTCACCTTCAAATCCTGCTTCTTCCCCAGGAACAAAACCCCACCAGTCTGTCATTTTTATACTCATTAGTCACCAGCTCTTCGAGGCAACTGAATCAATGCTCAACAGCTGCTCAGTGTGCTGGAGAACTCCAAAACCAAGGAAATTTTCAGGAAACAACCTCTCCTCACATTTATCCTGCATGCATCTGCATTACTTCCTGAGGATATTTGGGGTTTTTAAGATGTTTTCTGTTTCAGATGATCAAAAAAGCATTTTGTATTTAGCTCTGTGATTAAATAACATCAGGAAGCACATCCCCATCAACTCTAGTGGCCACTACATCTCYCTTACCAGGGTAAATATTTAAAATTCAGAGGCTTTGCTCACTGCTACCATGCAGAAGGTACTAATTATTTCAGAGCACTGCCTTGGCATGTGCCTGTTTTCTTCTGGAAGCCTCTATGAAGAATTTCTAGGAGACAGTGTTACAAACTTTCCAAATTTAGCTCAAGATTAATATCAATTATAAAGGTCTTTTTTTTTTTAAGTCAGTTTGTTAAATGTCTTCAGGAAAGCAATTGAATATAAGGGTTGGGTTTTTTTTTTCCCCCAAGGGAATTAAAAAATAGCAATAATCTAACTCCTCTCAAATGCCCAGAGTTTCACCATATCCTGACACTCAGGGCAGGTCAGGTTGAGGAAAGAASAGATTCCTAATGCCATAAAAAAGCAGAAACAAAATCTATTCTTAGCTAATCAACCCCACAATGCCCTAAGATTTAAAAACCCTTTTTACTGTCTGTTAGCCATGARCAAGGACAATTTTCTCTCCTTGCAGTGATTTTTACAGACTGGCTCCCAGGTTCCAGCCGTGCCTGCAGTGTAATCTCAGGTAACAGCACAGGGAGGGTTCCCCAGCTTTWCCCACATGGCATAAAGCCTGGCACACGTGCTCCATGGATGTGCCCTGCCTGGGATGCCCTGGGGGAAGGACAGGACACCTGCTTGGCAGGGAAGGAGGCAGAGCTGTACAGATTCATCAGCAGCTCAGTGGATCCTGGGGCAGTCTGGATTGGCCACATCCTCCCCAAAGTTTTGCTCGGGAGAAAGCAGAGCTGCCCCTTTATGGCATGTGATGAAAGAAGCTCTGAGCATGTCAGCTCTCCTAGCGCTGATAAGGTACAGAGCTGATTGTTCCACACAGCAACAGCTCCGAAATGCCGGGTGGGAGCTGCTGGGCTTTTCAGGAAGGGATTACCCAGAGCTGATCCCTTCCCCACCAACCTGCTGCACCTCGGCGGGCAGGAGCACCGAGGCAGTGGCCGCGGGCAGGTCCAGGTGTTTCATCCCCACCACGCTGAATTTTTCCAGGTGAAGATTGCGGAGGATCCCGGGGAGGCTGCGGCTCCAGAGCCCGGGTTTGATGAGCAGCACCGTGCACAGAACCTGTGCCCCTGGAACAAAGCGCTGGGTGAAACACAGCCCGGGCTGTTTACAACCCCGAGAAGGCATCTGGGGATAGGGGTCAGCGGAAACCTGGCAGGAAGTTCACAAAAATYCCAACCAAACAATCCATAAAAACCTGGGCATATAGGATTATTTATTTATTTATTTGGACTCTCTTTGTTGGATTTGCAGTTTAAAAATATATCTGAAACAGTCTAGGCTGGGAGGTTTCTCCTCCAAGGAAATCTGCTCCAGGTCCAAAAAGTTTGTGTGGCAGCTCTGTTGGATAAGACTCAAACCTTTATATTCTAGATTAATGTTTTAAGGGAGATAAAATATTCCCTTTTACATTTTTCATGTGAACTGTGGTGATTATGTGATGTAATCCTCRAGCAGCTATTAAATTCTTACTCCGGTGTTCTGTGTCTCTGAGAGCTCTGTTTCACAGAGGCACTAACAATACTGACAGGTCCCAATTAATGTCATAAGCCAATTATGAATTGAGTTGTGTTTACCAAAATTGACATTCCAGCAAAACTGGAATGTTTCTGCTTCTGACACAGCTCTCCCAGCAGAGCTGCCAGGAAGGTGCAGCAGCACTCTGAGGAGCAGAAAACAAACCAGACCACAAAAGCTTTGCTGTCTGATGAGAGAAAATGGATTWAACAGCAGAAAATACATAAATTCCATTTTTAAATGACAGCATTTTCAAATTTTYAGTCGTGCTAAAGTACTTTCCACAAAGAGTATGGTTAATATTTTATCCTGATAACGTCTTTTGGAGATTTATTGGCCAGTGCAGTGTCAGAACCAGCCTGTGAGGCCCCAGGAGCTGCTGGTGCTGAACCACATCAATCAGCACCAGCACAGGGCACATCCTACAGGCTGCTAAAACTGATCCAAGCCGATCTGTTTGGGTACGAAAAACGTCATTTTCTGTTTCCTATACCCCAGTACTAATTACACAGGTGTCAATGCAACAAAGCACCAACAAAGCTACCTGGAACTCAATGCTGCTATTTCCAGATGACAAGCAAGGATTCATGGCACAGGAACACGGGATCAAAAATAAAAACCRAGATTATTTCCTTCCCACTTGACAGGGAAACTTAACCCTCGTGGTGCAGGGATGTTAAAGATGTGCTGTTTTCCTCACATCATTCCTGAGCAGAAAGGTTCCATAGCAACAGCCTGGAAGCACAGGAGGCTGCRGGGCTCCACCTCAGCAACCTGAGCYSTGTGTGTTAYGTAAGTGCTCCGTGGCCTCCAGATGTTTCCCTCACCATCTGCTTCAGTTTTGGGCAGATATTCTTGTTCTCCTGCTGTGTGAGTCACTACCTGCTGCATATTTMGGGGCTGCAGACACTTCAGGAGGATTTGCCAGCTTGGTTTGGTCAAAGACACCTCGTCAGCCTGAGCTGGCTTTTCTCCTCAGTAATTATTAGTAACAAGAATTAGAGAAAATTACCACCACTAATTACCAACGGGACAATCTCTGCTGAGCATGAATTACCAGAGGTACCTGTTTGGCAACGCTCACACCTGCCTGATTCCCATCTCTAGCTCTGGCTGTTCGGGCCCTTCCCAGTTTTCCTGAGCTTTATTACATTTTTCCACTTTGTAATATTTTTAGATCACTTCCTCACAATCATTTCCTTCTTTTTTCTCCCCAAAAAAATTACTATATAGGTTTTGATTTCATAGCCTAACTGTGAAAATTGAGTTTATTTTAGATGCTATTTATAGATAATACTTCAGATAGGTGTGTAACTTCAACTAAGTGTGAACCCAAGACAAACAGATGCCACATTTCCTGGCATGCTTMGACTATTCCAGCCTAAGGAAAATGTTGGGATAATCCTTTTGCTAATTMTGGGCTGGCACATCCAGATGATTCAGCTCCACCAAGTCCTTGTCAAAGCACATTTTTCCATTTGCCATTCTCTCACCTGCTTGCAGGTAGGAAAACATGGATTCTGCCCGGCAGCTCCAGCTCTCACCCACTGAAAAAGAGAAGCAGATCTGAGTGAGTTCTGTGTGTTCTGAGATCTGCTAACCTGAGAATTTTGCCATCAGCTCTACATAAAGCAGCCAAAGTTACAGTGAATGTTTCAGAGGTTTACTTGGGTCATGGATGGATTGATTTCAGACGTCCTGTTCACACTTCCCCTTTCTCTRGTAATCCCAGCAGCACAGGCTGAACAGGACTGCAAGTCCTAAACCCTGTAGGATCTTGGTTACTGTTTCTGGAATTTCAGGGAGTGGCTAACATTGGTTTTAAACCTATTTGTGCCCTAATATTCCACAGCCAAGTCAGATGGTGCCTTGTTTCTGGCATTCCCAGAGCTCAGGTGTTTGGTTTTGATGTTGTCAGAAACAAAGATGTGCTGGGGATCCTGAGTGCTGCTGATAAAACCTCCCTGGCATTCCCCAACCAGCCAAAAAATACTGCTCCAGTGGTTTTTCAGGAGAGCAGAGCAGGATGAAAGGAGCCTGGTGAGTCAGAATTTAGGACAAAAGCCAATGGAAAAATGTTTCCTTCGGTCCAATGTAAAACCTGCAGTGACCTGGAGAGGTGAGGGAAATTAAGGCACTTCAGGCACATGTGAAMTGAGAAGTTCTGTAGATCTGAGGCACAGAGAGGAAAATCCTGCATCAGATTGGTAAAAACCTTCCTCTTCCAATGACTGGCAAGTTCAGCCAGTGTGACATGCAAGGTAGAGAAAACAAAAACCTGTTTGTCAAAATTACCATTATTCGGGTCTTTATGACTGTTCAAAATCCATGTATTTCTATTTCCCAAGGCCATGTATCTGGAAGGTATTTAGCCAAAGTGCTTTGTTTTTTTCTAATAAGACCTCTTTCTCTTCTTTCTCTTTCCACATGTGTGTTGCAATAATAGCACAAAGAGCAGGTGGAATAAACCCTGAGGTCCTTGCCTTGTCAGAACTTTTGAACCTCACAGTACCAGTTTTTTTCCTTAGTGCTGGGGTTATCTGAATAAAACGTTTAGGATCTGTGAGTCCCAGGGTGACCTGGGTGSCACTGGAATATAAAAGACACAGAACCATCCCCTCTGAGACATAGGCAATGCACATTTTGCTCTGATTTCTTGTTGGGCGATGGTGATGAACACATTTCACCTCTCTAAAACACCATGAAAATCATCATTTTTGGGATCTACACCAGCTAAAGAGCTGGCATTAATTACTCTTCCACTTGACTTTCCACACCAGCCCTCAGCAGGTCATTCTCAGGACTGGGGAGAAGGAACAATGACAATACTCCCACCTTACCCCAGTGGGACCCAGCTGGCCTTTCCTTCCCAATTGCCTGGGATTAGGATGTCTAACCAAAGGCTCTCTAATCCCATTTTAATGGCTCTGACAGAGGACATCTAGTTTTCTCCAATCTATTTAGGATCTAAAATGACTTAGTTGTTTGTTTTTTTTTTTTTCAAGAGGTGCTTACCTGTAGTCTTCCCTTCAGTGCTGGAGCTCCTGCCAGGTGGTGGCAGGTATTTCATAGCAGGACGGTGTTCTGCATCTGGGAAAGGAAGGACAGGTGTTTTTAAGGATTCAAGGATGGGAAACATTCTCTGCCTGGGGGTGGAGGGTGACAAAGGTAATTTTATTTAGCAGGGCAGACATTTGACCTGCTATAAGATAYTGAAGAGCTGTTCTCGAGCACAGAGGCCTCTCCATTCCTCCCACAACAACAAAAACACAAGGAAAAAATGGAATTCCCTTTTGAAAGAGATAGTGCAGGTGCTGAAGTCGTGCCTGAGCTGTGCTCCTTTGTTCCTGACAGTGGCTTYGGTGGGACTGCAATGCCAACCTCCCTCAATAAACTGAGCTCACAGCTCAGCTTTCCCCTTCTCCTGCCTTTCCATCTCAACATAACTTTAATCAAGGGCTGCAGTGCATGAATTCTTATGGTTTTAGACAACTTTGGGATGTCTGATGCCTTCTTTTCTGCAGTCCCCTCTTCTTGCTCGCCAGCCTCCCCCAGAACACCCACATAAKTCACTGGCAAATCCAACTTGGTGGGAGCCTAAACCCAGTATCTTTTCCCAGACAAATCTTTCTTCTTGCTATTCACTAAAGCCAGTTTGTTACTCCACACTACACAGGCACAGTGGGTTTGACACAAGTGTCTGGGTTTGTGTTGATGACAAAGGACTTTTCTTCCCCAAGGAAAGATAAAGGAGGAGCTGTAAATTCAAAGCACGAACGCTCTTACGGGACTGCATCACTACCCCTCAGCTGATCCTTGGTGTTCCCACAATCTCTGATTTCTCTCTGCTTCTGAGTAATCATAAAATCCCAGAATGGCTTGGGTTGGAAGGGACCATCTTGTTCCAACCCCCTGCCAGAAACTGTCAGGCTCAGAACTGTTTCTGTCAGGGTGTGAGGAGTCAGGCAGCCCCAGTTCTTCTTTCAATATTTCACATTAAAAGAAAACAATGGGAGCTTGTAGTCTGCTGCTCCAAACYACCCAATACCAATAAGCCCAGAGCCTGCACAGTGATTTAGTTTGAAGAGTCATGGCTATACRTTTTCTGCTACAGAAGGAAACGATCAAATTTACTATGCTGAAAGATCAATGCTGGCACACATCACTGAACTCTGAGAAGCTTTTGACAGCAAAGGTCTCCATYCCTCTCTTCATTCTCCTCCAGGATKTAAAAAAACTCCCAAGAAATCTGTTTTCTTCAGCTCTAAAGGATTGGTCACACCTTCACCTCCCTGAGCACAGGACAAGGCATCAAGCCTGAAGTCTGGCACCACAATTGGGGGCTCTCAGGTGGGAGAGATCTTGGCCTCTGATCTTCATTTTCTTTTATACAGAGAGATAAAATGCATGATATTATTGACTGATCCTGCCAATTGCTCTGATATCTAATYAGTACTTATGGGGTACCTCAAGATCATCAGCAAGGGCACCAGGCCAGGCACAGCCACATTAATTTAACAGGCCACCTTGTGGATGACCTCAGCTGGCTCCTGCTGGTTTCGTTACCTCATCTTGATGTAGCCATTCACAGAATTTACCCCCAAATTATTCACTTTTTCCGTGCCTGAGGAAACCCCCAGCCCTGGACTCCTCTGTCCAAGTTCAATCAATTCCCCAACACCCCATACCTGAAGTTAGCACAAACAGTAAAATCGTGCCTTACCAGCCACCAAATCAGCTTCTGTGAAGAAGAGGATGGCTTGTCTGAATGTCACCTCTGGAGTCAAAGCCATCAGTGCCTGAGGGAGGCTGTCACCTGTGCTCAGCCTGTCCCTGCCCTGTGTCCATCCCTTCARTGCAGCTCCCAGAGCTTGGAAGGCGTCGATGGCCCGGAGTGCACACACCAGGACAGGGCTGGATATCAGCAGCTCCAGGCTCCTCTGCCAGTGAGTGTCCCCAGCCTCAAAAGGGGTGATTTCCCTGGCCTGGCACCGAGTGAGRTGGGGCAGCCACTTCAGGCCTAGCAGCTCAAATCCTGAATCTCCTGCAAGTCAAGGGAAATGTGATTAGTGCCACACAACAGCACATGATTCACAGAAACTATGKTTTTTGTTCTGACTTCACATTGATTTTTTCCCTACACAAGTTCCAAAGCTGTTTTGACTTTTATGACATCCAGAACGGACTGTAATGCAAATATAGGAACATAGTGGGAAAACCCACAAGATGCAAATGCTAAGAAATGACATTACAGTGAAGAAAATAAAAGGGCTATCTGGGAAATCAACAGGGAGCCATGGGGAGCAAGTGCCATGATTTGATTAGAGAGCACAGCTAATGGAGGAGAGCTGAAAGGGAATCACTGAAAGTACACTGATAACAGCGTGGCTTGGCACAGCATAATCCATAATTATGGATCCTTTTGCACCTCTCATAACACTTTAAGCAATGTTCATCATAGTAATAAAYGAAACAGAACGATGACTTGTCTCTAAAGTAGTCTCAATGTTGTTGGGTTGGTAAAGTTCTTACTGACTATGCAGCAAAGTATTTAGGGCTCAGTCCATGAGTGCTTGAAGTTTCTGTTGGCTCACATCTCAGAACAGAACTTCATAGGATTTCAAGCAATATTTCAACATAGTTTTAGGAGAGTGGGATACAACACAGTGTGAGACTGGCAGACTTGTACCCTTTGTGCCCACACCTCCTGTGTTATCACACTTCAGTGAAACCTGCACATGAAATTCTATCAACTGTCTGTCCTGCCTAGGGCTTGACAGYTCTTTTCATGCATGTGTGAGCACCCAGCGTGGGGCTGGCACCGCTGCTGCTCCCGCRGGGGAAGCAGAGCGTGAAGATGTGCAGTGCCCCAGTTCTGCTCACCAGGGCTGTCACTGGACACARCAGAGCCTGGGACTCCCAAATTCCTGTGCCAGGTGCAGCCCAGCCTCACCTCCCAGTGCTTAGGGAGGGACACAGGGCTCTGTGTTACATAAAACCGTCGTAAACCCAAGCACTTCTTGGAACTCATTTGGTGCTCTCTGAAGCAAATGATGCCCACTTGAGCTGCTTGTGATATGAAATGTGGCCTTGCCCAGAACAAACCAAGATAATTTCTTCAGCTCTTTAGGCAGGGAAACAAAGAAACCTGCTCTTCCTGAGGCCCYGTCCCCACATTTTCCATGATGTTCCTGCTATGCTAAAAAGAGCTCCCCAGTTCAAAGTTTCGTGGCCAAGGTCCCCAGCCCCTCTCAGGATCTGGGATCACCTGCACTCCCAGACTGATCCTCGAGGCTGGGAAGSAGGATGTGCTGGAGGAGTTCTCCAGCACTCTTCAGAGCCTGCATCCCAACCACTGTCAGCATCACAACTTGCTCCATGCCGGGCTCAGCAGCGWAAGTTCGGTGGCACAGAAAATCCAGAGGAATGTGATGGGGCTCAGGCACTGCGCTGAGCTTTCCTCCTGCCCGGAGAGAGCATCAAAACAAASCTGTTACTCCATGAAAACACATCTCAATCCTTTAACCATGAAGGAATTGCATAATTCTCAGCCAGCATTTCACTGTCTCCTCACTGCAGCTCAGTTCAAGCCTCCTGAACGAGGAATATTAACACAGCAAACCCCCACTAATGAGTCCCACTCCTTCTCTGGAATTACATTTTGCCATGTAAAACAAATCTATTCCCTTGTAATTCTGAAATCCTTATTCACACCATTAGGCAGAGCTGATATATCTGCACCAAAATGATTTAAGGCAYCGGTTTGGGGTTGGTAACTAATGACTGACTTCACATTAAATCAATACCCCCTTTTGCTTTCTAGGACATTGCAGGGCACAACTGGGAGCTAATTTGGGGACTGCTTATATCCACGGTCCTGTTGGGAACAGCACAGCCTGGAGATTGCCTGGCTCGCCACAAATCCGTGTTTGATTCCATGCAGTTTGTTTCACTACATGGTTATTTAGGCAAYTGTACTAATAAACATGTATTTACCTACTTATTCCTGCATCATAACATTTCATAATGCTGGAGAAGGGGGAATGACATGCACTTAATTATTATTTTTCCTTAGGACTTAGTGTCAATTTGGATTTGGAGAGTAATATATTTTAACTCAAAGCCCTGACATCCAAATTTTCAAACAATTAAATTAAATKAAATGATAATAACTTGCTGAACACATAAAAACCCACAACCTTTAGTTAGTGAAATAAACATCTGATTTTTTTTTACTCCAAGTGTACAGAACAAGAAGGTTTAAGACTCACCCATGTGAGTCACAGATTAAGAACAGAAAACCCATTTCCTTGCTGTTTGAAATCCTATCAATCTCCCAGCTTTGAATGAATGAGTTACCAMAGTGAATACAACTGTATAAACTGAAATTAAGAGCATCTGAGTAAAATGACATTGAAAAGTGCCTCTTCTGAACCTACAGAACTATAGCTGCCAGCATTTATCACTTCAGCACATTCCAGTTTCACACACAACCACCAATTTATCTCATTTTAATATTTTGACTTGTSTTGAAASTATGGCAATAAATATGTATTGATTKGCTATTAATATTTTAATGAAATACCTTAATTAAGGCTTAATTGGATGTTATCATGTCACAKTTCAATAATTTCTTTTTGCATGTATCTTTTACTTTACTTTTAAAAGGTATTTTCTCTTTGATTTCCATTGATTCTTCCATCAGAGTTACCATGATGGACTGGCAGCAGAACAGTAAATRAGCTATTACAGACAAAAAGCATATTCCTAATGGTCTTATTCAGAAAAATCCCTCAATAATGTGGCAGTTCCATCCCTGGCAGTGTCCAAGGCCAGGTTGCACAGGGCTTGGAGCAACCTGGGATAGTGGAAGGTGTCTCTGGTCATAGCAGGAGGTGGAATGAGATGGGCTTTGAGATCCATCCCAATATAACCCAGCCCAGCCCAACCCAGCCCAAC